AAATAATATTTTGATATACAAAGAAAGAGAAGGAAAAGATAAAATTGTTGACAGCCATTGATGAAAAAAAGCATCTCAACAATTTACACAAAATGATACTAAAGAGTTTCTTTTAAAAAGATGTCTTAAGAAGACCAAGCCACAATAAGTTAGTGTTTTCCATAACACATGCTGAATTATTTGATCCCATATCTATACACTGTTACTGTCTTAATTCCTAAATGTTGTGACMGCATATATTTAATAACTGAGGTACATTAGTTTACATCTTTTTATAGGTACTCTAAGAGGATGAATTTTCCATTTCCAGTTTTTCATTGTCTTCACCTCCTCCAAAGAAAAWCAAAGGAAACATTCCTAGAATGCAGCCAATAGTCACCCCAACAGCTTTGCCCTAAGGAAACACAAAAGAACATTTGAAAGTTACTATATCCCTGAAAGGGGTATTCTTGCTTAAGTATCTATTACAATAGACAATTACCATGTACTAAAATATTTAACTTGATCAGTTGATCATAGTAATTTAAATATTTTTAAAAAGCTACAAAAATATCCCAGAACAGGTCAATTTAAAGTTTGAAGCAGGGCTGGAAATGTGGCTCTGGTAGAATGTTGCCCTATCATGCACCAGGTCCTGGATTCAATCCCAGCACAGCAAATAAATATGTGCATAAATAAATAAATAAATAAATAAAAATTTAAAAACAAAGTTCAAAGTAACCAGGAAAATCATCTTAATCATCTTAAAAACATCATCAAAGAAATATTCACACTGACAACACTTTTTAAAAATTGTACATATAAAGGTCAGAAAATAGGAAGGTAGGAAAAAAACTTGTAACAACTACTCTCAAAATATTTGGATTTGCTGTATCTTGTATATATTTCTTTTCTACATTTATTCCCATGTATACACAATTACTTATAGAAAAAATAATTATGTAAACATTGCTTTATTCTCTGCTTCACTTCACACTCTAGAGCAACCCCTGTAACAATAAACTTTCCAAACTGTTACATACATTTAATATGCAGATTTCTAAATGCCACTTAATTGATGGTCTATAATCTCCTTAAAGCTTTCCTTCCCATAAAAAATTCTTTAAACTGTTTTTCACCATTACAAGTGATCAGCAATAAATATGTCTGTTTTTACTTCTTCCCAACAATTCATTTAAAAATCAAATATGAACATTTGTGCATCTTCAAGGCTACAGTCATGCTGTCTACCCTGGACAAAACTACATATACATTCAGTATATATATATATATCAATTTCATTATATGTGTATGTTTATATATACATAAATTTTCTGCAATCTCACCTACATTATGAAAATTTTAAGTTGTTTGCTTCCATATATCATTTTTAAAATTTACATTTCTATGATGACTGTCAAGTTTAAACATTTTTCAATTAAGTTTGAGTTCTCCATACAAGCATTGAAAATCTACTCTGTGTCAGACTCCATCCTGGGTATACCAAGGAGATTGGGGCCTGGCCAGAGGTAGTCTGTCTTTCTTTTCCAGAAACTTCCATTAGGTATACAAAGGAAGACAAAATATGTCCTGTCAAACACTATAGATGTTATGATATTTTCATAATCTACAGTCCTGAATAAAATATCTTTTTCTATTAGAGCCTATATTTTTCTAATAAATTTTAATAGTAGACATTATTTCAACAAGAGCTTGTGTAACATTTTTTCAACTTTTGCTATTTTGGGTTTTTTTAATTGGTGGTGGTGGTGGTAATAGTTGTATGCCCATGCTTTATATTAATAGTCAAATCTGTCATTTTCATTATTTCAAAATTTTAAAAGGTATAACTCCTTCAAAGTTTTAGAAAGACAAAATTTAAAAGTTTAATCCTTAATTCTTATTTGACTTCAACATCTGTATTCACTGATATATCTTTAGAGTCTATATTAGGTTATAAGACTCCCTCCTGCCAGCAGACTCATTTCTCTCCCCCTTGCTGATTCTGAAGAAGACAGCTGCAATGCTGTGAAAGGGTCTATGGAGAGGGCCATAGGCCACGGGACTCTAGGAGACGTGGCTGTCCTCTGGCCAAAAGACAGCCAGAAGTTGGGACCTTTACAGCACAAGGAAATCAATTTTGCCAAAGAACTGTGAGAACTTGAAAGTGCATCATTTCCAGCTGAGCCTCCAGGCAACAACCAAGTCCTGGCTGCACAATGACTGCAGCCTTATAGGGGACCCAGCTGAGCTATGCCTGATCTCCTGACCCAAGAAAGTGAAAGGTAGTAAATACGTGTTGTTATAAGCTGCCAAATTCATGGTAATTTTTTATATATGAATACATAGGCATAAATAGGAGCCTGAGAGTTTGCATTTCTAACAAGTTCCCACATAAAGTTGATCTTATAGATCTTGGCACCATCCTTTGACAACCACTGGCCTATAAAATCTTACTATTTCTCAAGGTTTTAACTCTCACCTAACTTTTCAGTGGGTCTCCATGACTTTCCTATTTAATACTCTAATCTGACTCTATTGTAGCACTCCCAATACTTTTGTTTTTAATTCTCATTATGTTTATGAATTTCTAAAAAAATTATCATGTCTTTTTATTGTCTTGTCTCCTCTTTTGCTGGAACACAAGATCTACCAGAAAGAAAGAAAAAAAGAAAGAAAAACTCTTATTAACTGATGTATTCAAAACTCCGAGATCTGTACCTGGTGCATAGTAGGTGAACAATAAATATTTGCTAAGTGAGTGCGATGATGACACCTATCATCTCTAATTCACACCTCTCTATCTCTTACCTTTAACCCTAACCCTAATAAGTATCACCATTTGAATATCCTGCTAGCATCTTATACTCAATAGGTCAAAAGCAGAATTCTTCATCTTCCCTTCCCATCTGCTCTTCCTCCTTTTCTTGACTTAAATATGAAGGAAGTTGGATGCTACCAGTTAAATCTTCACTGGCTGACTATCACCTTGTTGTGTGAGGTATAAGCTCCTTAGCAGGGCATATACTGTGCCTTTCCTGTCTGGTTCATGCTTACTTCTCCAGTGCTGTTTTTGAATACAACTCTATCCGCAACTACTACATAGTACAGTCACAAAATTCCTAATTTTCTGTATTTCTCTGAATATTCCCTTTTTCTTTATCATACCTTTTATTTGCTAGACATTATACTCAGAACTCAACTGTTTTATCTAGTAAATGTCTCATTGATAACTCAAAAATAGCTTAAAATCAAGAATTACCAAGAAATCTCCCTACCAAAAAACAATCCCCCCAAAAATGTTATTTCTCCTTCTTGTGCTATTGTTATACCTTGTGCATAATTCTATTACTGCATATGTCATACTAAATGATAATTTTTCTGCATGCCTTTCTACCTAAATGAGTGTCTTAAGGATAACTATAGTTAATTATTCATTTTACATTCTCCAATCTCTGGCACATAACAGATACTACTCCTTAGGATTAACTGAATTGTATAAAGATTTTTTTAAAAAAATCAAGTCTACTTATAAAAAATAAGGAGCCAATACATAAATACTTATTTTTATAAAGACTTCCAAGCCTGTATAATTTTTGTTAACTGACTTTACCGAAATCAATTTTAGTCTCAGAGTTTTCAAGATACTAAACTTAGTGTCATTCTTTGTCTACCCAAATTCATTGTCATAGATCATATAAATTACTTACCAAATGTGTACTAACACGTGTTTGCCACATGTCAACTTGCTTTGGTGTGAGGTCAGGAATTGACAGGCCTAACCTGGAAGCCAAAGCTTCAACATAGCCTGCAAGTCTTTAAAAAAACAAGATAAGAGAACAGAAAATGAGTTTTTAAAAAGACATGCAAGTGTCCTCATATAATAAAACAATAATTATTGCAAAGAGAAACAAGATAATTTTACATGTGTACCTGGCACTACAGAAATGGCAAAACGGTTCTTGCAACTTTTATTTTTAGCATATATAAATATACCCAGTTTAGGAATATTTTCATATTAACATGTTTCATAGGTAAACTGACTCAAAGCAATTATTCTCCATCATTATCTTAAAAAGACCTATTCAAGATACATAAATTTTTTTTACAAATAATTACAATTTCTGTACTTGTTCCAAAAATCAAAGCAAAGTACCTTAATTAGTATAAATTAATAACTATTATCAGAAACAAAAAGGTTTTCTAAATTCATCATATTTGTATACTAAGACAGGCAGCCTAGAATATTCAGGCTAACCTCAAGTGTTTTATCAATTCTAAGTTGCTATCACTTAAAAGATATAATTTTAAAGATATAAGTTTTTGAACTTCAAATAAAAAGTTTGCCAATTAGGCTATGCATACCATCAATCATAAAATGGATCCTGGTATCAGTCAGATATGTTAAATTTTTAAAAACTATGCACCTAAGAACCCATAAAATGTAGATCTGTTATTTAGTGGCAGTAAAAATAAGACAGAAGGGAAACAGTGCTTAAATATAAAGAATCCTAGTAAAAGATTCATCTCCAATTTAAAAAAAAACTTTTATGATAACAATCTAAAATCAAATGAATATAAAATCTACCAGATCATTTGGATCTACTAAATATATCAAAAAGCTACTAAGTGATAACATTATCATTATTAACCTTAAACTTGGAAACTGGAAAATGGAACATTTAAGGGGTGATATCATGATAGATTTATGTCATAAATTCCAGGAATAGAAATTCTGATCATGGTCTTAAAGTAATTTCATTTTTAACAGTAGTTTTGGCCCCAAACTGTTCTACAAAAGCCTTAATACAGAAGGTTAGACCACTTATAAAACTACCTTTGCCTAGATTATAGGGTGAAGTAGACTTCTACTACACCCATATCCAAATCTCAAAACATAAAAAGGGGGCTGGGGTGGTGGCTTAGTGGTAGAGCACGAGCACTAAGCATGTGTGAGGCCCTGGGTTTGATGCTCAGCACCACATATAAATAAATAAAGGAATTGTGTCCAACTACAAAAAAATAAAAAGGTCGCTCAAGGGGTTGGGGTTATGGCTCAGTGGTACAGCACTTGCCTAGCATGTGTGAGACCCTGCGTTCAATCCTCAGCACCACATATAAATAAATAAATTAAATTAAGGTATTAAAAAAAAAAGGACACTCAAATTAGCCAACAAAGGAAGGCAGAAAATCAAAGACAGAGCAAGATGTTTATCATAATAATTAATGCCAATTTCTTAGGGTTCCCAAATGTAGAAAGCAGCCCAGGCCATTTGATACTTGAAAGAGAAAAAGCTGCCCTTTTCCAAGTAGCCATCCGAAGTTTGTTTCATCATTCCTGCCACATGAAACAGAGAACAAAATGGCCCCAATTTGAGGGCTGAGGGCATGGCTTAGTAGAAAAACACATGTTTATCATAACAAAGTATGTATATATTGTACTTAAATGCATAAAATATGTATAAATGTTTATACATACACACACACACACACACACACACACACACATACACACTTGGTGTTCTAGAACTAAATTTTCTAATTGAATATTTCTAAGGCAATAGTTTATTTTTTGTGTGTTTTTGTTTGTACCAGGTATTGAACCCAGAGGTACTTTATCCAACTAATTATAACCCAACCTCATTTTTTATTTTTTGAGACAAGGTCTTGCTAAGTTGCTTAGGGCCTCACTAAGTAGCTCAGGTTAGCTTTGAAGTCATGATCCTCCTGAGCCTCTGGGATGGCAACTGTATTAAACATTGGGTTGTGTCAAATATAGGTGCCTAGGTTATACTTCAGTCATGCATACATGCAAACTCTGTATATATATATATACACATACAAACATGTTCTGGCCATTATTTCCTTTCCAAGTTCCAATTTCTAGCAAACAAGCTTAGTCAGTATCCTCAAATTTGGGCCAGATCTTTTATCTTTGGGATTCATGGTTCAGTGTTGGAATGGAATAATGATGAAAGTTTTTGCTTTTAAACCTGTCTTACCCTTTAGAGATGTCTACAAAATGTATCTTCAGTGAATGAAAAATTCCATTTTGCTTACATTATTCTAATTTTAGTATAAATATTGGCATGTATCAGAAAGCCAGGGCCCCATCCCCAGAAACATTAATTCTACATGATTGAAGTATAACCCAGTCACCTATAAATGATGCACACAAATATTTAATGTTCTTGACATAAGAATATTCAATTAGTTCAACATACAGAAATCAATAAATATAATTCATCACATCAATAAACTTAAAGATAAGAATCATATGATCATTTCAATACATGCAGAAAAAGCACTTGACAAAATACACTACCCATTCCTCTTCAAAACACTAGAAAAATTAGGGATAACAGGAACATATCTCAACACTGTAAAAGCTATCTGTGCTAAGCCCCAGGCCAACATCACACTAAATGGAGAAAAATTGAAAGCATTCCCCATAAAAACTGGATCAATACAGGGATGCCCTCTTTTACCATTTCTATTTAACATAGTTCTTGAAACTCTGGCCAGAACAATTAGATGAAAGAAATTAAAGGAGTATAGACAGGAAAAGAACAACTGAAATTAGCACCATTTGCTAACGATATGATTCTATAACTAGAACACCCAAAAACTTCACCAGAAAACTTCTAGAACCAGTAAATGAATTCAGCAAAGTAACAGGGTACAAAATTAACAACCATAAATCAAAGGCATTTTTGTGTATCCGTGACAAATCTTCTGAAAGGGAAATGAGGAAAACTACCCCATTTACAATAGAAAAAAAAAAGCTTGAAAAATCAACCTAACAAAAGAGGTGAAAGACCTCTACAACAAAAACTACAGAATGCTAAAGAAAGAAATTAATAAAGATCTTAGAAGATGGAAAGATCTACCTTGTTCTTGGATAGGCAGAATTAATATTGTCAGAATGACAAAACTACCAAAAGCACTATACAGATTTAATGCAATTCTGATCAAAATCCCAATGACATTCCTCATGGAAATAGAAAAAGCAGTCATGAAATTCATTTGGAAAAAATAAGAGACCCAGAATAACTAAAGCAATCCTTAGCAAGAAGAKTGTAGCAGATGGTATCACTATATTGGATCTTAAACTATACTACAGAGCAATAGTAACAAAAATAGCATGGTATTAGCACCAAAATAGACTTGTAAACCAATGGTACAGAATAGACTACACAGAGACTAACCCACATAATTACAGTTATCTTATATTAGACAAAGGTGACAAAAACATACACTGGAGAAAGGACAGCCTCTTCAACAAATGGTGCTGGGAAAACTGGAAATCCATATGCAACAAAATGAAAATTAAACCCCTATCTCTCACCATGCAAAAAACTCAACTCAAAGTGGATCAAGAACCTAGGAATTAAACCAGAGACCCTGTGCCTATTAGAAGAAAAAGTAGGCCTAAATCTCCATAATGTTGGTTCAGGCCCTGGCTTCCTTAATAAGACTCTTATAGCACAAGAATTAAAATCAAGAATCAATAAATGAGATGGATTCAAACTAAAAAGCTTCTTCTTAGCAAAAGAAACAATCAATCAGGTGAAGAGACAGCCTACATCTTGAGAGCACATTTTTACCCCTCACACATCAGATAGAGCATTAATTTCTATGGTATATAAAGAACTCAAAAATCTTAGCACCAAAAAAAAAAAAAAAGCAAATAACCCAATCAATAAATGGGCCACAGAACGAACAAATACTTCTCAGAAGGTGATATACAATCAGTCAACATATATATATGAAAAAAATGTTCAACATCTCTAGCAATTAGAGAAATGCAAATCAAAACTACTCTTTTAAGATTTCATCTGACTTTAGTCAGAATGGCAGCTATTAAGAACACAAACAATCAAGAGCTTTGTAATGTTGTGAACAACCAATAAAAATTAAAAAAAGAAAAAAAAAAAAAAGAACACAAACAACAAGTGTTGGGAAAAAGGCACACTCATACACTGCTGGTGGGACTGCAAATTGGTGCAGCCAATATGGAAAGCAGTATGGAGATTACTTGGAAAACTGGAAATGGAACCACCTTTTGACCCAGCTATCCCACTCCTCAGTCTATACCCAAAGGACTTAAAAATAGCATACTACAGGGACACAGCCACATTAATGTTTATAGCAGCACAATTCACAATAGCTAAACTGTGGAACCAACCTAGATGCGCTTCAGTAGATGAATGGATAAAGAAAATGTGGCATATATACACAATGGAATATTACTTAGCAATAAAAGAGAATAAAATCATGGCATTTGCAGGTAAATGGATGGAGTTAGAGAATATAACGCTAAGTGAAGTTAGCCAAACCCCAAAAAACAAATGCCAAATGTTTTCTCTGATATAAGGAGGATTATTCATAGTGGGGTTGGGAGGAGGAGCATGGAGGATTAACCAACTCTAGATAGGGCAAAGGGGTGGGAGGGGAAGGAAAGGAGCATGGGGGTAGGAAAGACACATGGAATGAGATGGACATCATTACTCTAAGTACGTGTATGAAGACATATACATTACTCTAAGTACATGCATGAAGACATATAGTGTGACTAAACTTTGTGTATAACCTGAGATATGTGTAATATGAATTGAAATGTTTTCTGCTGCCATATATAACAAATTAGAATAAAAAATTTAAGAAAAAAGAATATTCAACTAAGAAATTTAGTTCTAAGACACAAAGAAAACTTATTTTAAATGCTTCTCAATTAAAGGAAAATGGAACAAAGAAAGAATATAAGGACACAAATGAATAAATAAATGGACCTACCCAAGTCCAGCTAAATCAGACACAAGATTTCCCAAAGCAGCAGCTAAAAATTTGAAAAATGACATGTAAATTGTTACATAAAAGTCAGAAAAATTATGATAATATATCAATATGTGACCCACAGAGCACTGGTCTAGGAGGGTAATTACATTAACTATTAAAAACTATATATTTAGAAACTCATTGTAAAGCTTTCAATCTCAAGAGTTCAAAATAGAGTATGATTCTGAAATTATAATATTCTACCTCTATATAGTAATAAGTTTCTTTTTTCTGTAAAAGCAGCCAGTTTCTGTTTTGGTTTCAATGCCAAAACACATACATAATATTTTATAATTTTATCTTTCATACAATGTATATTTCATATTCACATAATTGGAAGTTAAAGACTAAAGCCATACATACAGCTCTGAATTCAAGGGAGTCAAGGAAAAGAAACATTACTGTCAGGAACTCATTGACTTCATGCTTTTCACACAATAAACAACAAGGAACCATTTCCAAAATTTCACTATCATGAGCAAAGTGGTAATAGAGGCACAAGGAAAGGGGTTCAATCGTGTATTCTGCTTTTCTGCTTTTCTAACCAACTAGAAAATAATTTAATAGAGACAAAGGATAAACAGATCTCAGGGTAACCATGAATTACCAGACAAACTTGTTTTAATATAGACAATATGACAGAAAACTGTTACCCATTAATTAACATGAAATATCTAAAATTTCTTGGAACAAAGTGCTACATATATAAAACTAAGAATCAGACGATTAGGACTAAGAAGATAAACAGATATTTCAATTAGTAAATTCATTTCAAATAAATTATCATCTTCTAAACCTAACCTTCTGAAATCTTCTATAAAATACATACCCAGTAGAATAATAACATTTGCTATTATTATATACCTGCCATCGTTGAAATTCCCAAAATAATTCCAATAGATAACTCGATATGGGTTCCCTGAAAAATGATTAAGAAAAAAAATCTTAAAAATTAAAACAAAGTGACTATAAAAGAATAGCAAACTATTAATAAAAATGGGTAAAACAGTTAAATCAACATGTTAGTGCAGCAAAATATGGAGAAATATGCATATTATGAGGTATTTCACTTAATTATTAAATATATTCATTCATGTAGAAATAACATTTTATTTATTAAAATTAAGTCTTTTAAAAAACAAAATAATAGCCCATATAGAGATATAATTCATCATTTTAAAAATCTAGAATTTCTATTTTTCTATCACAGAAAAAGATGGTTTAAAGCTCCTTGAACACAAAGACTAACTCTCATAATTAAATTCTAAATGATATATCTCTACTATTGCTATTTACTGAAAGATTAAAAAGACTAAACCAGTTCCTAGAGAAACTGAAGTTTGTAAAATTATCCTTGTAAGATTTAGTTCTTTATCCATTAAGTAGTGAAAGTATATGATTCATTCATAAATAGTAACAGCATTTAATATAATAGACCTAACAATAAAAATAAGACCCTAATGCATTTCCACTGAGTTTATTTATAGACAGTTAAATATTTTCTACATTTCTATTATTGTTCCACTGGTGGTGGGGGGGAATAAAGCTCATATATTTACTTTCACTTTAAAGCAGAACTGAAATAAAGAACATTGTACTACTCTAATGGCCTATTTAAAACAGAACAAAGAGGAAATTCTAGGATCTATTGTGCTAGTACAGTTCTAATGTATGAGCAAGCCTGCAACAGGTGGACTTAATTTTCAAGAGCCCTCTTAAATCACTGACATTTGAAAATTTCTTTAAAATTTTTTTTTAAATCTCAATGATGTTGATACAAAAATGTTCTATTATATAGAAATATTGCATTATTTATCCACTGTTTACAAAACTGAAAAGAAACTGAAATAATAATCCTTAAGACATGGACGTGCCTGATATACAAAAGTCTCCCTGGCACTTAAAATGACACGCTTTCTAAAAGCACCCAAGAAACAGATTTCTGAAAAAGGAAACAAAAAAGTAAGGAAAAAACAGGCACAGAAATAAAAATGAAGATGCATATCTTTATATGTGAATGTAAAAGAAGTGGAGCAACACTAGAAGAGAAGCATCTCACAGCTACAGCATATAATAAATATATACAGCACTTTGAAGAGTGATGAATCTTTGCAATACATGTATTTAAAAATATTTTCATGCTTAATTACTTGGTTGAACTTAAACATATTTGGGTCCTTCTAAGACCATGAAAAGACTCATGTAAATTCAAAGACAGTTTGAGGACAGCAATTGACCCTCCACTTCTTTACTTTGTGTCATAGTTATGTCAAATTTTGTATTAATAGGCAAGGTAAAAATTATAAATAAATCTAATACTAGTTGTCTTAAAGTTACATCTGGCTCATCACTTAATACAGTTAATCTATTCTAGACTCTAAAATGTTCTATCCTAATTAAAAGTCATTCAAAAAACATTAAAATATAAATTATAAAATCCTAAAAATCAGGCAAGGTGATACAGTCCTGTAATCTCAGCGATTCAGAAGGCTGAGGTCAAAGAATTACAAATTTGAGGACAGTCTCAGCAATTTAGCAAATCTCAAAATAAAAAATAAAAGGGCTGGGGATGTAGCTCAATGGTAAAGCACCCTAGATTCAATCCACACTTCTTAAAATAATAAAATAAAATAAAAAGCAATCCTATAATACAAAAATATAATGAACTATGAAACCCAAGGATTAGTATTAATAGTAGCCAATAATAAAGGTCTAATTTATGACAAACAATTATACAAGAATCTATTTATGACTACAAAAGTAGCAGCCAGAAAAGGACATCTAATAGGAAGGCAGAAAAGGTCAAATATCACGCTAGACACTAGGTAAGATATGGCATGAGAGAACAAAATAAACAAGGAGCTTCTTACTAAGTCTTAAAACAGCCACAGCTGTTCTATAATATGAAGAGAAAATCAGTATTTTAAAAAATAAACAGGTAAAAAACATTCTTACAATGGTAATGATCACTTATTTTCCTTTCCACAGACTACAGTTATATTATTTATCCATTTGAGTCTTAGCAGTTTATTACAAATGCCTCACCAGAAACTGTCCTGTCAGTCTCTGAACTGGTCTGCAGAGCATCTGTGCCACACCTATCACTCTTTGCAAATGTTTAAGGCAGTAATTTAAAATATATATTTTAGTAAAAAACAGTAATTCGGCCCTAAAAAAGCTGGGTTTTAATATAAACAGAGTAAGGAGTTATTACAAATTTGGAATTAAACATTTTAGGCCTAAAATAATTAGTCTACTCTCAGTTACACTAATAACAAGGCATAGGCCTGAGTAACACAAAATGATAATCAACCCTAAAATAATCTGACTTTTGAATGTGTTTTGGTGGCTGTTTTTAAACACAGATATCTATTACTTTAAATATTTATTCTTTTTTAAAAATGATGACCATACTGTGAAGGTATTATTCTAGATTTAAGAAACTAAAAGTTTCCCTATTCTGACCTTTCTTCAAAATACTCCTATACCCCTCTTCCTGCAAAATATATCACAGGATTCCCTGTAACAAGGATACTCCTTCAGCTTTTCAGTATTTAAGGTCTGTCCTATTATGAAAAACATAATGGTTATAAAGATGGTGGCATGGGTACTAGCTATCAATAAAGAGAACCCAAAATGCTGAATAAAACCATGCCAAACTGAAAGAAATATTTACCACAGAGACTTTCTATTCATGAGCACATGAATCTTGGAGCACAATCTACTCACAAGCACATGAAGTTACAAATTTAACAAAACGGAGTTTCCATTATAATTAGATTTGATTTACATTTTCTCTTTAATCTAGACAACTCAGATTTTAGTCACTTCAGAAAAGAAGTGCAGTTCTAAATAGCTGAATAAATCTCTCACATTCACAGGTACACAAATAGACCAATTTTATTCTTTTGTGTACATTAGGAAGATGTCATAAACAACAAAAAAAAACTAGCATTCTGGAATTCTATTTTAAGGCCTTCACTAAATGTGTCAGCCTATAGAAATCTGATCTTGCCAGGTTTCTTTACTAAAGAATCCTTTGTGTGCATGCCAGATCATCTTCTGTGATGGTTTATGCAGCAGGATGCCATGTGCTGTGTGAGCCCTGTGAGTCTCCTCCACCAGGTGAATGGCTGAACTTCGTGAGTGGCTAATCTACATCAATATGGACATCAGAACTAGACTATATAGCAAACAAAGCTATTCTAGAATGAACCAACATTAGGTATTCTTTAAGCAACTTCTATAATCTACATAATGTGAATTACTTTTAAAAATATCTACTTTGAAACCAAATCTTGTATTTACATTCACTTGCAATCCTGGTGAACTCAAAAACACAAAAAGAAACCCTGATTCTCTCATGTCATTTCTTCATAGTCAATAATCCTAAGATTATTTTTTTTCAGTAGTCTCCTTCAATGTAGTATATTTATAGTATTAATCGTAGATAATAGAACTTTTAAGAGTCATTGAAACTAACAACAAACTCTCTAAGCTCTAAGTTAAAGAAGCACTTTGATTTTCTCAAATGAGTTCAAGTAAAACCCCTACTTGAGAATTCTTAAATTGGTATCCAGAAATAATTGCTACTTTTATCACCTCACAGAAAATAGATAATAGACCTTCAATCTATTTACTTCTAACATCTGAGAAGAAAGAATTCACATTAAGTATTCTAAAACTATGTACTAAAAGTTGTTATTACCTTACAATGATCAACCCATTCCATTTGGACAAAATAAGAGAAAAGTGAATAGAACACTGGACGGTTTTTGAAGACTTGCATTTTGATCATGGACCTATTTCTGTTTCAAATATGGACCAAATGTTGGTATACATTGCCAAGAGGCATTACCAATAATAAGAAATGCATATCAATCAATTAGGATACACTTTTATGAAGCATCCTTACATTTAAATGACCATATGAAGGGGACTACTATAATGCAACAAAGGCAGAAAGGGCAATATATTCAATGCTCTGAAATGAAACTTTACAACTTCTAGGTTAAATGGCTAAAGCTCAGACTGTATATCAAAACATCTGTTGAAACATTTTTGAGTGAGAAAATTAAACAATGAACTAATCAAATAACCTACATAAGTGATGACAACTACTAAGAATATCAAAAAAATTTGCATGCTTTTTTCTTTCAAAGTGTTGAAACTTGATTAGATGATATAAACCCTAAATGACTTATCTAAATGCTTTGTCAAAGTCTTAATAATTAACATATATCCAGCCTTAAAATTGAGCTAATCTAATTAACATGAAACATAAATAGTGTTGATCATTATGATGTTAATTAAAATTAATAACTATATTATACAAATTATTAGGAAAATATAGGCCACAATAATTTCTTTATTAACTCAAAATAGAAGCGGTGAGAGAAAGAACTTACTGCAACAATCATAATTGCATTATCCAAAAAGCCAAACCCTATGAAAGKTATCGCATTGTGGATGAATACTGAAAAACATCAAAAACAGAAAAAAGTAGATTTTAAGATTTAACTTTAGAATGAAAAAAACAGACCATATGATTAAAGTCTCCAGTAGACTTGATAATCTTTTGAATTTGTTTCTCATCCCTCATAGTCAACAGATTCTGCTATTCCTGTAAATTTAACTACTTTATAAAAGTTATACTGAAAAAAAACAAAACAAAAAATATATAACATGTAACAATAGTTGTATTAGTCTTTTGTGTTTTCTTACTGGCAATACACATATATGGACACACCCACACATAAATATACATTTGGTTAATGATGGAACAACTTAGTAAACATATAAATACTATATTGTACCTGATTAATTGCTACAACATCAATCTGTTTCTCTTTATGCCTAAAGACTATTATCATAAAATTGATCTTTGTATTAGAAATATTGAAAAATGTCCAGAATCAAATTTCAGGGAAGTTACTTGATTGCTTTTATTCACTAACCAACTTTTTAAAGAAAAACAGTCTGAAAAATATGATTAACATATTTTTTAGACATCTATATGCAGTCCTTCCCCATTCACAATTCATCAGGATCCCTAAATCCTACTACAAAACCATAAAGAATCAATTTGTTTTGAATCAAAATATAATTTGACCCTTCCTGCCAAAGGCACACCTAACCTCATCTATCTGGTGCATAATATAAATGAAGTGAAATATTAAAAGTGCAACTTGGAAGAACTAAAACTTATTTATACATTTAGCCTCATATTTTCATATTGCATCTTCAGCACATTACATAATGCTGAGAACATAGTAGATGCTCAATAAATAATAATTGAGGGCCACTAACCTGGAAAAGAAGAGCATTCCATATTGAGAGAACTGAAGGCAGACTGTGAAACAGATTAAAAGCTGGGAATAGGTAAAAGACTTGATTCTAATTAAAACTATAAAATTGCCAAGGTATGGTCAATATCAGTTCAACTAAGGGCTTTCTTCACTAAACATCAAAACCCAGTTTCATACCTTATCCAAAACATAGTCCCTTAAACCAATTGGTTATATATGTGTTAGGTGATTTTAGAGTCTTTTTTCTTTTAATTCAGTTAAGTCCATAGAAAATATAATTGAAATATTATCTAGAAGTTATGAAAGTTTAATCTTACTATAGTGAGTTCTGTACCAATCAAGGAAAGCTAATAAGTAGTTTTAAAAAAGGCACTATCAAAGATAAAGAGAAAGAATATATAGAATATAATAATGCATACTATTATATATAAAAAAGAGAGTACATAATAGGTATATAATAGTTATTTCAGATTTCTCCTTGCTATTAAGTAGAATTGTCCAATATTAAGAGAAAAATATTTAATTATGAATATTATTTTAAAAGCTATTAAGATGATAAAATAAAATAGCATATTAATGAAATGGGATTTTTCAGAGTCTAGCCTTACTTCTTTGACTTTTTGCCTTTATCTAATTGCTTATCTACTGATCATTCTAAATTTTATAAGAAACATATATACAATCCTAATTTCCAAAAGTAAAGTACAAATAGCTTAAAATAATATAATGAAAAATTTTAAATTCATCAAGTGAAAAATGTACAGTAAATAAAAAGCTACTTAAGTATAACTGCAAATCATCTTCCCAAGTTCTTTGAAACATCTGGCAGAGTAATGATGAAATCAGTTAAGATTACTCAGCATTTGGAGTTAACCTGATCTCATCTCTAAAACTGTCTGCGATACAAACATCTTAATATTAAATATAAAGGAGATTAAATTAAGATTAGTCTAATTGTTATCCTTGTAAAACTTGGTCAGTAAAACCAAGGCAAATTGCTACAGAAATCACTTTGAACTATAAAATACATTACGTTTTTACATTTCTACCTTTTAAAAAAGTCCTATAAATAAGATTTCTTTTTAACCCAAAGGAAAAAGTATAATTTTTTTAAAAAGAAAATGAATAATGTATTAGGCACTCAACTGGGAACTTGAGCTACAAAGATAAACAAAGGTTTTAGGTATGGTGACATATCTATATAAACATGAACTACAAAAAAAGCTAACAGTATTATATGGTGATGTCAATATAGGTAGTATGAATTAGGATGGAAGAATAAGGAAAAGAGTCTTCCCAGGTGGGAAGAATAGTCTTAAAAATTCTGAAATTCTTTGGCATTTGGATTAAGTTACTAATTTCTAATATAAATTTTATTCTACCTATAAGAAAAAAAAGAGCTGGCTATTAGATAGTTTTTTCTAATGATATAAATTTGCTTTCTAGTATATAATTATCTCCTACTAATATGTGATTTCTTCAATTTTCTTTGGGAAACACTATAACATAGAAATTGTTAGCAAATCACATTTAATATTTGGCTTCAATTTACAACCTATTCAAATTTGCTATATCATTAGATAATTCTCTTCTTCTTATAGTAGGATCCTTAACTGTTTTATATTACTTCCAGGTTAGTCCTACAATATATTTATTCCTATTATAATAGAGAAAAGAAAGAAAAGCAGCATTTTAATAAGGTTATTCTTCCTGGTGTTTTCAATGAACTTTACTTTTCACTGTTTACATACAGTTAAGCAGAAGTATTTTCTGCATCAGAGAAGAATTCTATCTAGCTTTGAGCCTAGAAATTCTAGTTCTTCAGTTATCGCACTTAAATGCAAATACATTCTTTTTCCTGGAATTAAGAAAAATTCTATCATAAGTATAATTATATTTATAGACAGCAATAATATCTTGACATATTAGCTATTAAACAATATTAGCTATACCATAGTACTGTGATAACATCAAACCAAGTTTATAAAATGCTTCTGCAAAATAAATAAGATAATCTACTTTTTCTAGCAAGATTAATTTACTATTTCTTCTGTGCTATTAATAAATGATATAGTTATATCAAGTCCAAAAGATAGATGCACATATATTTAACAATTATAGAACCATTACCATATCTCAGCTGTCCTGGGGTAGGTGGCAGAGCTTCCAATTTTTCTAAAGGGGAAAAAAAGGGTGTGAGGCAAGAATTAGTTACTATAACATGATTTTTTTATTACAAAGAAGAAAACACCGGTAGACATGCAACATGGAAGAACAGTAGAGTTTATTCATAAATTATATTTAGGTTAATGGACAACAGTTAACTATTTAAAAGAACATTAACTTCTATGATTAAACTACAAAGTTAGCAAACAAAACTGACCTTTAGTTATAAGCCTACCCTGGGCCCCGAGGCTCTGCGTAAATCACATTTTTTGTATTTCTTTTATTTAAGTTCTTGCATCTATATAATGAGACTATCTGCACTAATTACAGTAGAAAAACACTTCAGAAATTTAGCTACTATTTTTAAGGTAACATCTCAAGAAAACTTAATATGTATAAATACTGATAGCAGAAAATACTCAAATACACCCAGATATCCTTTAAAAATAGGATAATATCCTAAAGCAATGTAATTACAACAATGATTTTACTAGATTAGGTAAGGTTCTTTAACTCCATTAGATAATATACAGAACATTTTGATTTTTGAAATCTATACTAGTAGATAATATTCTGCCTAATACAACAATCAAAAAACTATGCTATTATTCAAAAGCACAAGTATAATACATGTCATAATGTTTCCCCAAGTATTAATCTAAGTATCTTTAATAGTCATCAATATATGTAAAATTAATTATTACAAAAAATTATATGTAAAAAATAACTGTTACCAAAAAAACTACCGTTTCATAACAAGAACCATCTCACCACCTGTGTAATTTTAAAAGGTAGAGAATTCTACCTCCTATCCTCACCCAATCATATAGAATTAATTGAGGACACATGGAAGAACCTTAGCAATGGCTAACTCTCCAATAGATTTAGTTCAACCAGATTGTCTCAGGAAACACATTAAAAACTGGATATATATCTTCTAAGATATTTATTGATAATTTTTGAGAATATAAGAACTGAACAATTTTGTTTTAAAAAGTAAAAAGCAAATAAATTTCCATTGATAATCTATACAAAAAGCAATGTGGTCCATATTTGTGACTGGTGTTTTCTAAAATCGCATATAGTCCCATAATGGCTTTACAAAACAAAAAAACAAAAAACACTAAAACCTAGAGTTGAATCACTGTATTATTCAGAATGTTCTAGGAATGAATGTTTACTTTTTTTCCTTATTAAAAAAGAAGATATATTAATTTTTGAAGAATTTCACATCTGACAAAATTAAGTCTCCATTCTTTGATTAGCACTGTTATCTCAAAATCTACTTTGAAAGCATGCAAATGGCTTTTCAAATTTTTAGCTAGGAATATAGGACACCACTGTACTCCAGAGAATTTTCTAGTGAAGTAAACATGCAAAAGTGGATACATATCAGAACTATTTGTTGGTTACATTATTATCATTACTGTGAGAAGTCCTTGTTAGCTGACAGGAACATTCTGAAATACTTAAAATTTCAATAAGCAGGACCTTCCCAATAGAGTTAGCATACATAGGGCACTTTCTTTTACTTCTTCAAATTACCTATACATTGAACAAATTATTTAGAATATCCTACAAATCCTAAGAAAGGATAAAGCCTAGACAAATGAATAATGGATAAGCCCAGCACAGTGGAAAAGACCTATAATCTCAGCCATTCAAGAGGCTGAGGCAGAAGGATAGCAAGTTCAAGCCCAGTATTAGCAACTTAGTGAGGCCCTCAGCAACTTAGCAACCCTGTCTCAAAATAAATTAAAAAAAAATAAATTGAAAAAGGATTGGGGATGCAGCTCAGAGGTAAAGTTCCCCTGGGATCCGCAGCACCAAATAAATAAAGTACGTAAGTACTGTGGACAGGACAGGGAGGAAAATCACTAGAACAATATCAGAGTAAAATCAAAATCCTGCTTCACAAAGAACCTAAAGAGTACAAGAAGAATCATAAAGGCAACATTCCTTAGAACATGACAATTTTATTGAAAAGTACCCTTGAATTCAAAGCCATCCTCAGCAAAAAGCGAGGCACTATGCATCTTAGTGAGACCTTATCTCTAAATAAAATACAAAATAGGACTAGGGTGTGACTCCATGGATGAGTGCCTCTGAGTTCAATCTCCAATACCCTCCCCCCCAAAAAAAAGAATCCTTGAGGGCTGGGGATGTGGCTCAAACAGTAACACGCTCGCCTGGCATATGCGGGGCGCTGGGTTCAATCCTCAGCACCACATAAAAATAAAATAAAGATGTTGTGTCCACCAAAAACTGAAAAATAAATATTAAAAAACTCTCTCTGTCTCTTCTATCTTTTAAAAAAAAAGAATCCTTGGCATATGGTAAATTATCTATAATTACATAAAAATGTATTCCACTCTAACGTTTTACTAAGTAGACCTGAGTGTGTGTGTGTGTGTGTGTGTGTGTGTGTGTATGTGTGTGTGTTATATCATACATTCTCCCTTTTCTGTGTATTTTAAAATAATGAGGTAGCTGTTAAAACTCTGCTTCATCATACCATACTTGCTGACTTATTTTAGCTCAAAACTTCTGGTTCTTCATCCAATAATGGCTAAGTAAATTCTTATCAAATCAGTCCTCCTACATAGAATAAGCTACAGACAAAATAGAGTTAATAAATTTCAGAATCACTAGAAAATGACTGCAACAGGTTAATTCTGAAGGGAATCAACACTTAAAAGAAATGATACAAAGTGAGTTAATTACCTGTTTGTTGCAACCTTCAGCCTGAGAGTAGGCCCCCAATCACAACACAAAGAGTAACACACTCACACACACCCCAAGCACACATAGTTTCACCTTAGATTTAAAGAAAAAAAAGCCCTCCCAAAAACTTACAATGAAGAAATACTTCCCAACTTATTTTATGAGGAGAGAATAATACTAAAACCAAACCCTACCAAATTATCAAAAATAGTAAATTGCAGACCAATATCCTTCATGAATACAGCACAAAAATCCTTAGTTGAATGATAATTGTTGTCTTCCTAAAGTATGAGTGTTTACTCATAATAGTGGTAAAAATAACATTCAAACTTCATCACATTTTCCCCCTTTCTTAGGTAGTTCTCATTTTTCAAAGAAGTGACCTTTAATAGGAGTCCATGTTTAGAAAGAAATAGGATAGGGAAATTACCCCATAAGAATCTGTGAGATTATACTTATACATAGGATTTCTTTGCTTTAGATTTCACATTGTAAAAACTCTTAGCTGAAAGGTAAATAAAAGATAATTGCTGCAAACTGATCATTTATTTTATATCAAATCAAATAAAAAATACTTGAAATGTGACTCTTCTTGTCATTGAGAATTTATATACATTCAGTTATTATAATACATAGGTGATGTTTCCTAATATAAAATACTCCAGACATTCATCACAATCCTGGAAACATGAGAAATATTTTGCATGTTTAATATAAGATTTTAACACTTTCAACATATTATTTTGCTTCAGTAATCCAGGAACACTAGAGAAAACAATTTAAATATTGAAAGCAAATTTATTTTTTAAAATGAATTTAAGAACTGGGGCTGGGGTTGTGGCTCAGAGGTAGAGCACTTACATACTATGCATGAGGCACTGGGTTTGATCCTCAGCACCACATAAAAATAAAAATGAAAATATTGGGTCCACCTATAACTAAAAATATTTTTAAATGAATTTAAGTACAAAAAGAGGTATTTCAGTTAGTTTTCTAAATAATTCAAGCAACCAGAAAACTGTCATAGCTCATAAAATACTGTTTCTGCCTAAATAGAACAATATTAAATTTCAAAAATAATGTTTCTTTAATGATTCAGATATTATATTACATTATATTCATCAGCTTAAACTTCAATTATTATATTTAAGAGATATAAAACTGAGAAGTGCTGTCACAAAGACTTAAGAGGGTCTGAAGAGAACATAATTTTTTTTCTCCTATTTCAGAAATAAAAATGCATTTAACTCAGCTACATTTTCTATTTTATCCTATATATGTAGAAATATTTTTATACTGTATTTACTTAAAGAAAAGGGGAAATCAGAGATGAAGAGAAGGACAAAGGGGAGAAATGAGAAACATAACAGGTAAAAAAGAAAAGATGAGAAACAAATGCAGAGGGTTTTTGTACTCCTGGTCATGCGGAGAGTTTAAGATAAATTCCTGACTAATTATTTATTTACTATTGTTCCTTTTCTTAATTTTAAGTTAAGGTAGCATCTGTGGTAACAAATTGGCCAACTGTAGTTTTTAATAAGATGAACTCCAGTTAATCAGAAATTTTCATTCTCCTACTGGAATGTATTCAAAAAATAGTTTTTTATTGGCAAAGTTTTTCCAAAGAAACATACTTAGGACAATAATCCTAAAGGCAAGTCTATACTACTATATTATCTCTAGTCATATAAGAAAAAAATATTTCCATTTTACAACTAACCATATGGTTTTATCCTAGGAAATTCCTACAAGGTTTTATCAAAATATGTTTTAGAAAATTTCATAATTGAAATATGACTTACATTAAATTATTTTTATTAATGCTACTAAATTATGGCATATTAAATTTAAAATTTTACATTAAAACTCAAAATGAAGTAGAAATTTATTTTAAATTATACTTTTCAGGAACATGTAAGTTTTAAAACCGAAGCTCTAGTAGCATAACTGCCTACAATTTAGGCATACATGCCTGAGTTAGGTTATATCTACAGTTTTGACCATGTTTAATTGTGCTCCCATCAATCTGAAGTCTTGCTTGGCCACTCATCTTTTTATAAGGAAATACCATAATTGATACTCAGTGCTTATTACAGAAATAGAATGCATAAGGTTTGGGGTCTGAGATGATAGGATTACAGATTCCTGTTCTACTGCCCTGGTACAGATAAATCTGGGATTACTATTTGTGGTATACATTATAAAAACTGCCTTGTGAAATAATTAAAATTTTAGTGTCAATCATAAGTTGGGAAAAAAAGGGACTAAAAGCTTCTTTGAGAACA